CACTAAGCATTGGGAACAATGGGTCCGTAGGGTGTGCCGGCCATTGGTTGTGTTGCACAAGATATTGGAGAAGCGTCCTAACGAGGCAGCACACTGATGTGTTTGGCAATCAGTAAAGCGTGATGATGACCCCTTTTCGGAAGGGGTCAGTCTTGGAAGCCTTAAGTTGAAGTGAAACTGATGATAAATCAGGGTTGAATGACTCAGAGTTCAAAGACAAGTGTAGTTCAGGGTTGTACGACTCACAAGTGAATTCGCCACATCTTAAAAAGGCGAAGAAGGCTATACAGCATGATACCTTCATAAGTCAGTCAACATATGGCGTGAACACACCTTGGCTCAGCTTTTGACACAAGTCCGTAAATATGTCAATAGAAATTGGCAGGCGGTTAGTAGTGTGAATCGTTTTCAAAACAGATAAAATCGTCTAAGAGGTGTAAAATGTCTCGGATGCCATAATGAGTGGAGGCTAACCAGCAATTAACCTGTGGTGGGAGATCAAAAAGTTTGGGACTTGATCGGAAGCCAAGTACTAAACGGGTATGGAAGTAGTATTTGTTCTGCCATTTGAGACCATGGAGATGCCACAGATCGGGATGGATAGGGATCAACTTGAAAGCGTCAGCAACGTCAGTTTTGTACACGTATGAACCCAGGACCCAAGGCTTTGATGAATGTGATGGCGTCGTCTATTCTAACATAAGAAAGAGAGAAGTCTGCCTTGTCGATGAGTCAAACTGGGATTGTCCTGGTCATTGTGCGGGGCCGATATGTCCACAATCAGTCTGAGCTTTTTGGAATACTTTCCTTGTACCACCCCAGTGGGGTTGATTCTGACGACTGGAAATGGAGGTGTCTGAAAGGGGCCAATCACGTAACCTTTCTGCAGCTGGCTCATGACGAGCTCCATTGTGGTTTGAGGATCTTTCGCAGCTGAGCATAGATTCCTGCATTCCTTAGATTGTGACTGGTAGAACTGGATTCCTGTGTGAAAGCCGAACTCGAGACCTGATGTTAGCTGATCAACAAATTGTCTATCCGGAAGGTGTTGAAGCATGCTATGTAATAACGACACATTTATAGGTGAATTCTTCTGACCATGTCACTGTTTCTTGGTCTTCCTGGCCACTGGCTTGAGCATCTTATCGGTCGCCTCCTCGCACTTGTGATTTGGGAGAGGCTTCTTGCAGAGAGTACACACATGCAGGAATCGGCAGGATGGGTATGTGCATTTGTCCTCGTTGAAATTGTTGAAAAATGGATAAGTCTCTGAAGACTTGGGGGACTTGCTTTCTCGTAGATGTGGATTATGGAGAGCTTGTCCGTGGAATGTTTGCCGTGTTGATAACCCTCTGTGTTGATGGCCTGCGGCTGCTCACCAAAGGTCAAAAATCGGTTTTGTGGTCAGACATGAAGCACAGTTCGCAGGTGTTAACGCGATTCCCAGCGACGATAGTGAAATATATTTGTTCGTCATGCTTGTCCCATGCAGGTACAGTGTTTGTTAGTGCTAAAGCTGCAGCTGCCTTGGCAGAAAAGGTCTTGTGATATTGGTAAAACAGGGTCCCACCAAATCTGGCATGCATTTCAACAAATAATCTTTGATACTTGTCTAGGCTGTCCTTACGTCTAGGCCACTCTAGGATTATGATATTTCTGTATCTGATGAATGTCACGATGAATTCCTGAATCGTCAGAATATGCTGAAGTCTGGCATCAACTGGGGATTTTAAATGTAGTTCATGCTGACCCAACTCAACGACTCTCGGTTGAATCACCACATCATCTGGCATTAACAAACATGCCAAATTGATATCCTTTCCTTCCACAATCTGGTTCCTAAGGGATGGAGACACAACATCTACGTCCATTAGCGAGGTATAAGTGGAGGAATGACAATTACCTGTGCACTGGGAAACATGTTCCGATGGATGTAGAGCTGTGAATAGGGTAAAATTTCCGGCTGTTGGTCTATTCCGACCAGTAGGCACAGATGGTGAGGTGGAAGCAGTCTGTTGGATGGTAGCCCGAAACTGTTGAATTTATTGCTGTTGGGACAGTGTGGCTTGAGCTTGCCTGATTGTGCAACGGAAGGAGAGAGTTCGTATTCAAACTGATGGTGTCCTGTAAATTTCGCACTGTCTGTACTAAAGAATTGTAATCCATTTCGGGAGCGTTGGGGTCGGCGTAGACCTTACCGTGTAATTCTTTTCACCCCTTGTCATCGGCGTGAACGTCTACAGTTTGCCCCACAACACCAAACCTGGCGATACAGGCTGAACAACATCAACATTGCCACAAAAGTCTTTTCATTATCATGACAATATCAGTGTCACTAGAATCAGGATAATGTCAGTGTATAATGGGAGTAGTGTCATGCACTTTCATCATCTTGCCCTGCCATGGCACTGAGCCAGCCTTGGATGCCAGATAATGACCCAGATGTCTTCTGATCTGTCTCCCTTCTTGGATGCCAGCAATCCTGGCCTTCTCATGGTATACATCAGCCAGCACTTCGTCCTTTCTCCAGGAGCCTGGGGGTCACGTTATGGTTTTGGTCCTCAAAATCCATTAGTTACTGTGGGTGGCAGGGTACATCATTCTCATAAGGTTGTGAAGTATGACATAGGTTGTGACGATCTTTCTGTATGTTTCTGTTCTCTTATTCATGGTTCTGAACAAAACTCGGAACGTGTGTGCCAGAATGCCAAAGACATTCTCAACTACACGTCTGGGTCCCGTTCCACAAAACGATCGTAGCACCAAGATGATCGTAACTCCCATACTTTAACATAGAGTTACGACTGAAGTAGCAATACGATCGTTTTGAGGAACGGGACCCTGGCTCTTGAGAGTCAATAATTAAATAATCTCTCATGTTACTCAATATTTCGAATAGAAAATGGGTTCATCAGACGCTTGTTGAGACCAAAATCATTGTCCCCGGCTATGAAATTAAGGCACTGGAACATCTCCTGGTAGACGTTTTTCATCAGGCAGGTTCGATGTGTTGTTCTCACTTTCCAGACCTTCAGTTACTGTAGATACTGGTATTATTGCTGGAGCCATCAGATGATCAATCCACAGAAACCTGTAGTAGTCTGCGTCAACTAAGGCCATGAGCACAATGGAGAAGAAGCCCTTGTAGTTTCTGTATTCAGAGCCAGTGTTCCAGGGCCAGGTGACTGCCACATGCTTGGCATCCAGAGCACCACAGCAGTGTAAGATTGTGGCATTGTGTATTTCAGTGTAGGGTCAGCCATCTCTTTTCAACCTGCTCAGCAATGGCAGCCCAGCCTTCAGTTGTAGTTGGACACTGAATCGCCTCAGCAGCAAACGCAGCTTTGATAGCATCGCAGAATTCACTGATGATGAGTGAGATTGTATCTGGAGCAACGCTAAAGTTTTATGACAGACTTGGACAATCATCATCGCAGGCCAGGTGTCGGAGAGTGATTGTCAGTTTGAGACCAGGTGGACTGACCTTCGGTACCATGTGTACTTCTTGATTATTCTGTCCTCTTTCCTTCTGAGCACTTCATCATAGACCCCTCTGGGAAGCCTTGTGTAATCGACGAATGCCTTCTCATCTTCAGTTCTCAGCTCATCAAGTAGAGTTGTGTAGTGGCCATAACGACCCACACACACCTCGGTTTCCTCCTGCACCTCTATTTGTCCCTGCCCTGGAAAATCAAAATCAAAACAAGATAAGTACACAGTCAAGTGATAGCATGACAAATAAAAGCAAAGCGACAAATGGCAGAGTGCAATATAACAATGTTTACCTGTAAGTCGCGTTGCCTTCTTATGACAATCGGGCAGCATCATGTTTCCTTCGTATTATCTTCGCAAGGTGAAAATTTCCCGATGGTACCGATGGACAGACGAAGGCAATACGGTGATGACACGAATTCACAAGAAGCCATCTCGATGGCCGTGCGAAGGGAAAGATGGAGACACGTATGCATCACGAAAATGAACCTTCGCACAGGGTATCAGGGCTTTTTCGGCATGCCAAAGATTTTGCCCGCTCTCCCGATGTTGCTGCCGGAGGCGGAGAAACTCCTCCGGCGGCCATACGATGGCTTATGATGCCCTTACGAATGCCCCGATTGCTTTACGATCCTTTGCGAATTTGCACATTATCAAGTTGGTTTTCAATCTCATGTCAAAATCGGCACAGTGTGGTGGTGGTGGAATTTAACGTCGTGCTTGAGAATATTTCGCTCATATGACAACGTCGGCACAGTGTGACGCCTGCATAACAGAAAGACCATTGAATGACATCGAACAGTAGTTCCACATTTGGTATTACCTACCTTCCCCTTGCAGTGTAAAACTCGGATCGTAATTCTTTCATTTACAATATGTTTGTCGTTTGTTGGTTCTTATCACTGTCATGCACATCGACACGTAAGACAACCTTTAAAGGTCATCTAGCAATTATGAATAATACAAATATTTCAAGCATGGTTACAAAACCAGTTTCAAGAACAGTTCTTTCCATTTTCAGTTATTCTTCTAGTTTTTTTCAGTTTGAGACTATTGTTGTGAAAACTCGGCCCCAGTTCCACAACGCGATCTTAGCTAGATGACTGTGAAAACAGGCCCTGGTTCTGGGTTGTGCATGCGAGGCTCAGCAGGTCTAAATTGTTCAAGAGTTATTGGATTTAAGTTGATAAATTAAAACGAGGACGAAAATTGACACGTATTTATAGTCAGTGAATTGGTCATTCTGCAATCCTGATTTGCTTCAAATACTTTGAAAAGAGATACACGTTCGGTAATATGATACTATCTTCCAAGATTGTCATATAACACATATCGTATAATTTAAAAAGTTTCGAATAAAATTATGGAAACAGCTGCTACCCCATTATTAAACAGAACAAGTATTTCTTTTTATTACATGCATATTAATACAGAGTTATATTTAGGTTTAATTAACCGTAATCTTTTCTTGTTTTTCCTGCACTAAAACCAGTATATATTTGTTTCAGTACACAAGTGCAAACCTTTACCTGCTCCAAACAATGGGGCCATGGTCTGTGACAGTTGGACAGGGGGTAGTCAATGTCAACTGCAGTGTAATGACGATTATGACATTCCGGACTCCGTCTCCTTACAGAAACTGTTCCTCTGTGGAATAGATACAGGGAAGTGGCCCACTGATATTGTACCCAACTGTACATGTAAGTGTTAGTTACACTTATTAAACATTTATTCTTGCGTTTCGTGGCATCCATTCAAGTGACACAAGGTCACATACTTTTGAAACCCTTTGAACCGAACCAACATTCAAATGCTATAGGGAATACCGTATTGTCCGATGATATCTACATCTTCAATTTGTCAAAAGTCCGGATGGACATGCATCCATCCCCGTTATCCGTCATGAAGATTCCGGAGCCAAGATATTCACCATGTAAAACCAGTAAGCATTAGCATTCAGTTGTTACTGCATTAATTACCATTATCATTGGTATTTTAATTCCCTTTATGCATGCCAGATTAGATGTAAGCCTGTTCTGTGTTTTAGTACTTCACTCTTGCTTGACAACGCTATAAATATAGAATAACGAATATATCACCAAGAGTTGATAAAGTTACAAATATCCGATGCTTGCCGAGGAATGTTTTACTTGCATCAACGAGTGTTGATAGATTTGATCAGAGGAAATTGTATTTACCATATAAAATCACTCTAGTTTTCAAAGAAAAATGTACATTTCTGAACACGGTACTGCCATTAGACTTGCAGTGCAACGATATCATAACATTGTCACGTCATCAAGTTCATGACTTTATAGCATTGTACAAAATCTACTGTCAAAACGATATCTCCTTGGAGAACACCGTTCTGGATGATAAGCATCTATTTTGAAACGTCGCATCATAATATAGTAAATCCATCCTTTCTTATTGACTTTATATTTGTTTGGTACATTTTAAAATTTCTTATATGAACAACAATTACTTTCAGAAACACGCATGTGTGGCAAAATAGAAATTCAGATTACCAGTTATTACTTTCCCTTTCGTGACAAATAGCACTTGGACACTCTAGATTTTTTCTTAATACGTAGTCAACAATTTACAATATCAACACTACATTCTACGGGTTAACATGCAAAAAACAGGCAAAAGAAACAATATTTTACATATGTGCAGTTTCAGATGCAAAGTGAGTGAGTTTAACTTTACGCCGCACTCAGAAATATTCCAGCTATTTGGCGGCGGTCTGTAAATAATCGAGTCTGGACCGGACAATTCAGTGATCAACAACATGACCATGGATCTACTTAATTGGGAACCAATGACATGCGTCAACCAAGTCACCGAGCCTGACCACCCGATCCCGTTAGTCGCTTCTTACGACAAGCATAGGTTACTGAAGATCAGTTCTAACCCGGATCTTCAAATGCATTGATATTGGCATTTTGAGTGTGGTCACACGGCAAAAGTTCAAAATCAACATTGAAAATACTCCACCAACTGTCATAAAAATTGAAATGAAAAGTTATTCATAATTGATGGGAACAAGCATCTACAGTTTAAGGTTAGATAAGCCAATCTTAGCACCAGCCTTTAACTCATTAAGGCCGAGATCCGCATATATGGGGCAAATTAATCAGCGCCTCACAGCGAATGACGTGTTTATGGGGCGGGTAATTGGCAGTTTCTCACAGCGAAAGCCACATATATTCGTCAACAGAAAGCACCCCTTATTCAGCGAGAGACGCACATGTATGTTGTACTTTTAAAAATAGCACTGTACCTATTATTTCAACCAATTTAGTAGTACTTAGCAAATATTAGCTTTTCTTGCGAGAGATGCTACCTTTAGTGTCGATCAGAAGAAGTATTTAAAGCGTTTTGATTGCAAATGCTAATCATTATCATAGGCTTGTACAGCGTTTGGCAAATGAACACATGTCGGCGAGAAAGGGGATTATGATGTTTTTACAGAGGTAAGTGTCTGGTATTCTCCATACTAAAATACTTCGTATGCACATTGATTGAATTAGATGTAATGGTTTAGAGGTTGCTGAAGATTATATTTTCTTCAACTTCCTTATAAATAGGAAACAATATACGAAAATAGGGAAAAACAAAGAATTCAAACACAATAGAATAGTTTGAATTTATATTTAAGGTATTCTTATGTTGTCATGTTTCATATAATGAAATATAATGTATAAACAAATAATTTTACTTCCAAGCTCGTATAGAGCTTAATAATTTGAAGCCTACTGAATTGTACGGAAGCGTAGTAGGGCCACGGTGAAAATGTAACTATTTTTTTTCAATAATCTAAAGTTGATAATGTTACCTATTCGAATATCGCGCCTTTGCATCGAATATATATACATGTCAGTGTTATTACAACAATGAAATCTTTTACTACGTTTTTTAGAAAACACAATAAGTTGGTAATTCAAAAATTCTAACACATAGACAGCAGTAATATCATAAGTTATTACATATAAACCATTCAAAGGTATTTCAAACATTTTTGTTCAAGCTGTTGAAAGTTTCATGTTGATTTGAATTGTAAGTTTTCTATGCAATTTACATGAGCATCGTGTCAAACATTTGTATTTGATCACTGTAATTATCAAATCCGGTGTAATTATCACGTGTATCAATGAACTCAGCCTCTATTGATCCATCGTCAATAAAAGCTGGATAGTAAATCAGTTACGGTATCGATACACATGCGTATAATCGATGAATCAGATTACAGTCATGAGATAATTAAACACCTCTTTCGACCTTGAAATAACAGCCTCCGGTAGAATGCATATGTATACTGAGTCAAAAAAAGAAACTTCACAAAATGTAATTTTTTAAAATAATGAAAATATTTTCGCTGATGATACATCTATGTATCCGAAATGGGATCCCTATCTTTCGACTCTAGAAAAACGTCAGCAAAACCCACTCAAACCCATCCATTCGTCGTGCAAATGACGTTAGTGCCAAATCAGGTTTTACGCGTGCAGTCGATCACGTGATCTTCGCATCGCAGTTTTCTTCATATGCACGTGTTTGCATTGGCCTCAAGAATTGAAAAAACACTTTTAAACCACAGTTCTAACGGTACTTTAAATGCCACGATTGTCAAATGTGCAACGTGAACGTGCCGTTGGCATGTTGCAAGCTGGAAGATCAGTTATTGACGTCGCAAGAGCAATGGGATGCAGCCGTCGTACTGTGTATGACTTGCGAGGTCGTCTACAACAAACTGGCACCACTTCTGATCGCCAAAGGTCGGGTCGTCCACGTGTGACGTCACGAGCAGAAAACCGTCAAATCGTCCTACGTCACCTACGTGACAGATTTCTGCCGGCTACACGAACCAGGGCTGAGATGTTGAGAGGTCGACTGTCCTCACAGACCATTCGAAATCGGTTGCGGGCTGCCAATCTCCATTCTCGACGTCCATATCGTGGGCCAATATTGACGCCGTTTCATCAACGTCAACGTCTGCTGTGGGCCCAACGTCAACTCCGATGGACCCAGAGATACTGGAATCGAGTCGTCCTTAGCGATGAATCCAGGTATAACCCTCAGATTCGCGGACGGCAGGCATAGAGTCTGGAGACGACGTCGTGAACGGTATGCCCAATGTTGTGTACAGGAAGTCGACAGATTCGGGGGCGGAAGTTGCATGATGTGGGGTGCTTTCTGTGGGAACAACCGTTCCCGACTTCTGGTCATCCGTAGAAACCTCACAGCTGCTCACCCCTGAACTCGTTCCTTTCATGGCGGCTCATGGCCAAGGTCTACAGTTCCAGCATGATAATGCTCGGCCGCATACCGCGATGTTGACACGAAATTTCCTTCAAAACGCTGGAATCAACGTCATGGACTGGCCATCGAGGTCCCCTGACCTTAATCAAATAGAGCACGTTTGGGATGCACTTGGATGAAGGCTTCGTGGTCTTAGGAACCAACCTCAGAATTTGCAGGAACTTGGCGCTGCCTTGCAAGAGCAATGGCGCAGAATCCCCAACCACGTGTTCACAAGCATCAGGCAGTCGATGAGGAGACGGTGTTTGGCAGTGGTGAATGCGCGTGGCGGCCATTCACGATATTGAACCGAGAAATTTCGAATTTTTATTCTTGTGACTTGACATTCTGTATACCCATGTTTTGGAACGGCGGTGTAGCCTAATGGAACTGATTATGGCACTGTCAGTGTATCGAGTACATCACACTGATCTCAGCATTGAAATAATAACAATTTAACCATCTTACCATATCTTGTTCTTTTATAGTGCCCTGAAGAAAGAATGTGAAGTTTCTTTTTTGACTCAGTATAGTTACGTCCTTGTTGAAAGGTTTGTCCCGTGACAGGTGTAAAATAAACAGATGCGCTGTTATAACATTGGACAACTTGCTTTCTGGAGTCACGCCCCTCTCTGTAATGTTTATGCATGCATGCACATCTGTAATCTTATGAACCTCGTTTGCATTCAGTATCAATATAGGCACGCCCTCCATAAATTTTTGGAGGGAGGGTTCAACTGCAAGTACATGTATAAATATATACACTATAATAATTGTCTGTCTAGTCTGTCCATTCTATAATGATCCTAGAAGAAATTTCTTGCCACGCTATTACTACAAATTCCCTTCAGAGTGTAAATGTAAACTTATATTTACCACCAAAAATACCTCCATGCTTAATAACCTTGCCAAGTTTACTTTCTTTGCTCTGAAAATGAGGAGCAAGCAATTGTCCATTACATAACCTACATATTTTATAGTCACATGTATATTGTACTAGATATAACCTGCAGAACTTAAACATTGCTACTTGCACTGGTGGCGCGACATCAACATCTTTGTCAAACTATAATTGTAAAATGGGCTTGTGGCCTGATTTACAGAAATAAACTACTACTACACTATAATAATTCAGTATAGTGTCATTTCGTGAATTCTGTGATACGTGTACTTTAGTTTGGATATTCATTCATATCAAGGTGAAGATTATATTTACATGTACATGAAACCATTATGTTTTATGTACTAGTTGTGTGCGTAAAATCTATAGGAAAATAAGTACCATCTCTACTCAATGGTTGGATTTCAATCGCTTGGTTTTACTTATCGAAGAACATTAAAATGAGGACAAAGAAACTCGCCAAAGTATCTATCTACTCCTATTTGTCTTATGTGTATATTTCATACATCGTTACCAGTGTGTATGTTTACAATACACAAACTGTTACATGATAGCTTGAGTTGATAAAGCCGAAACCCAGCATATCGACTGGTCAACGCTATATTCAATAATCAGTCTCTATCCAATCTGTTGAGTGACCAAACGTGCTCTTCTGAAATTTCGCCTACGCCCCATCACCTGTCCTTTCCTCTGTGACAGGTCCTTTTTACAACCTTACCATATAATACTCCCCGATACACTCTTGCACATGCCTCTATAACCGATTCTTTTCGTATACATGTCCTTCGCTCATGGAGTTCATGCATAGCATAGACAACTCACAAAAATGTACCCTGCCATGAAGTCATCCAGAAAGCAGCACATATTCTAAGTGGAATATTTTCAGTTATGTTGCTTATATTTCAGACCGTGCAGACAGTGATGGATTTCGTATGGATGAAATATATTACTTCACTGGAAGATGTAATCAGATGAAGGAAGAAATTAAGAGAAACTTCCTTAAGGCAATGAAAAGTAGAAAAGTTTGTTCAGAGAAATATTGCAGCATTGAACATGTCACTATCAGGTGTGGTGATGAAGTTGATGATGACATTCTGGATTTTCGTCGAAAACGCTCAATACGCAGAAGTGATAGACGTCGTAGAAGAAAATCGTCTAACTACATTTATTTCAATATTGTGCTACGATCTGACTTGAAATCACAATCGTTTTCCAAAACCAAGCAAAATTATGTCTCAAGACTGAAGCACATTGCCAGAAAAATAGCAAGATCATCATTTCATGCTGGTGGCCAGCTTATCAAAGCCTTTAAAGTTCGAGTGAGAGATGCAGTTCCAGTTTGCAAACCAGGATATAAAGTTGGCTTCTTTCACAAGGACTCATGTGGTGAGTACTTACAAAATGGTTTATAACTAGATCATGATAAATGAAGCAACTGTTAATAAACCCTTCATTAATCCTGTTGGAGATGTAGCTTCTGATTGACCTCCCATGTATCCTTGGGAAATATATCTTTAATACTGTGTGATCACATAGAGTATGAGTGGCGACATCCTTTCACAAATGCACTTGTTTCACTTTTGATTTAGTCACTCGCAATGTGAGGCTCTCACATGTTCAACAGCCAAGACCTCTGCTCTGATTTTGTCCTTGCTCCCAACCTCAGCTGTAACTCCATGCGTTTTTGTTGAAATTTTAAAAAGTTGATTTTATTTTCCGGCATCACTTAATTGTCGGATGATTTTATTATGCAGGATATCTACTAAATTTGTGTTGTGGCGAGACAACAACCAAAGAGCTTAATCGGTTTTTGTGCAAAAATATCGTGTTTTCCAATGCCAGAGGTACAAGTGTTTACTGTTTTGAAGTGAAGCACAGCTGATGGAAAGAAAATTCCTGATCTCCCTGTAAGGCAGAACAGGTATTAGAGGGATCAGTGGACTCATTTTATCCCCACTAAAATTTGAGTAATTAGAAGTAGACTTTTGCATGGGCCGTTCTTCCATGACAGATTCCCCGAATTATATACTTCTCCAGTTGATTGGAATGAGCCCAACCAGCCTTACCTTTAAGTTGGTACATAGCTACAGCTGGAGTATAACACCCGTTTACCATTGATCTTTGCAGCTTCGAGATCCGCTCCACTACAAGACTGTCCTCGTTGACACTCCGTGGCGGGTGGGGAAAAGGGGTTTAAAAATCTGTAGACACTATCTTGCAAATGTAACAGAATGTACATATAGTCCCCCTACGGAACAGCGCCAAGCTAAGCTTGCCATTTCATCTAAGCTGAAACCAATAGACCTGTTTGTTTCCGCAGTTTTCAGGCAATTCAGTCAAACAATATGTACTGAAACTAAATGGAAACTTGTTAGTTTAAGTTTTTTTCTAAACTAAGCGGAAACCCATACACAGACACCACCATCAAACGTAACATGTCCTTGAGGAGTCCCATAACTCCATTTAAGATAAGATAAGATAAGATATGTCTTTATTGTCGAAAAGGAAATTTTTATTGCACTGTTTTAGTTCTCCATTCATGAAAAACAATATCAATACATTTGAAATAACAAAATCAGCATATAACAAGTGTATAAAATCGTATAATGGCACACACACTCACACACACACACACACACACACACACACATACATACATACATACATACATACATACATACATACATACATACATACATCACTTTGTAACATTTTACGCCACAATTTCTTTTAAACACAATCTCTTTTGTTGTTCATTTCTCATATACTTGACGGTTCTTAATGTTGGCACACGTAGAAGGGAGAATGGAAAAGAGACGATTAAAATCTTGTTTGTATTTTTAATAAGTTGCTGTTCATAAAAATTGCCAAGACTTTCCAAAGGTAATCCAATTATTTTTGAGGAAGTATTGAGAATTTTGAAAATTTTGTTTTTGTTTTGAACAGACGGGTTCCCACACCAGCAGATATATACTCCTCACGATAAGTTAAGCAACACAAATTTGTAGTCTCATTACATTTTCATTTATTAAAATTGCAAATCATGGAATGATGCAATAGAAAGTTAAAACATGTGTACACACGATTAACAAAATGAAATGAAATGGTATTGAGCAATATTAAACTTACAAATCATCAAAAGCTTGTACCCGCGAAATAGCCGTGCAAAATGTGCTGTATTGATGGAGCAAAATGTTAACATTAAGGGTCAAGTCAGTTTTGGACAGTGATCAGTAACGCTTATATCCACCATGAGCACAAATGCAAGATTCTACACGTCTTTGCGTTGACCAAATGAGCCTTTAAAGTTGCTGTTATGGAATGTTCCACCATTCTCTCTGTAACGCCTGCTCAAGGTCATCCAGAGTCTGGGGGTGAACATGGAGACCGTAAACACGACTTCCAATAATGTCCCAAGCATTTTCAATGGGATTAAGACCAAGTGACTTTGTAGGCCAGTCCATATGTGTGAAGTTGTTGATCTAAACAACATCATTAAAAACTCTTTCTCTCTTTCATTATCATCCATGGACGGGCATTATCATCCATAACAAAGAAGTTAGGACCTGCTTGTTGTGCCAGAGAAATGATTACATGTAGGTTTACACCGATCAGGCTGCATGTGTGAAGAGTAGGACTTTTATGCCACACATTTTGCATGTTGTTTCTGAGTGTGGTTGTGTTCGGGTGATGTTGTCAATGTTATCAGATAAATCAGTTTGACAGTCACTAAAGGTTAGATATTCACGTTAGGGTAACATGTCGGCAAAAAAAGCTACCGAGATTGATAAAGACATTACACTGAAAATACTTGTTGCTTAGTTTTTTTGTGACGAGTATAGTTGGAAATCAGAACACTCTGAACAAAACTTTTATAAAAGTGCATCACTATGGTTTGATCTAACTTGAAGTGTTTTAATTTCCATAGAAGGTGTAATCGCTGTTTGCACATTTTGTATGTATTACTAGTGTTAGATTTCGAGTCCCCACATGGTTACAATGTGTGAAGCCCATTTTGGGTGTCCCCCGCCGTGAAATTGTTGGAATATTGCTAAAAGCGACGTAAAACTAAACTCACTCACTCAATATCCTCGCCACCTATGCTTACTGGTTAGTTAGATGGTATGTCTTCGGAAATCGATGATTATTTCATTTGTTTTGTCCATATTCAAAAGTAGAACATTTGAACTACACCATTCGACGAAGTTATTGACTTCATTCCTATAACACACTTCAGATTCTCTAATAAGTCCAACCAATGCGGCATCATCAGTATATTTAACTGTAAAGGCTTGTCAGTTTTGCATCTACAGTCATTTGTATAGAGTATGAACAATATGGGTGAAATGGCGCAGTCTTGAGGCGTACATGTGGCTCTACAAACAGTCTGCCTCACGTTCGTGTGGTATATCACGTGTGGAAGCTTCATGAATCAACAAGTTATCATTCGAGATATAGTGAGTAAGCGAGTTACAGTTTATACAGCGGCAGTAGTGCAGCCATATCGGGACTAATGCAGGCGCGTGGCAAGCCCTTTTTTTCGTGTAAGCCCGATAGGTTGGAAAGCTTTACATTTAGATAGTGCTGAGGACTTGCCCAACCCTTTTGGCAACAATTATGTGTATGCCCGGGCGTTTTTTTATAATAGTAACTACACCCCTGAATATAAATTCATTATAAATACACAATTTTTAAAAACCTGTCGACGAAGGACAGTAAAACCAACTATATGTCACAATATCAAGAACTATAACTTTCATCTATCTCTGAAATAGGAGTTCAAATTAAGACAATACAATGTAAACACGGGTTGAGTATCACCAACAACTGAAGGTTGATCACCATAGAAGGGACTTCAAGATCAACACCCGTCAGTACAGCTCATACAATTCTTTTTCCTATTGTAGTGATAGAGAACGACCGGGTGATCTTATATATTGGTGAATCATGACATAATCCATAGCCCAGATCCCCTTGATACTAGTATTTAAACTGTTAACATTATGTTCACTGTATCTTCCTCCTTCCCTTTTGGGAGAGTACGGATACAAATAATAAGGGGAAAGTAATTGACGATTTTATTTTCAACAAACACCAATAAGGAACAGTTCGGTAACGCAGTGGCTAAAGCATGCCCTCTTCACACCGAAAGCCCATATTTAATTCTCGTGTGCAATGTGTTAAGCCTAGAATATTGTTAAATGTGGCGTAAAACCCAACAATCTCGCTCATTTAACAAAGGCCATTTGGTCTCTTTTCCAAACTGTGTGTAGCGGTTAACTCTAACCTGACAATTTCAGGAATGTTCTTGATCCCATACAACTATTTTCAGATGTAATAAATACAGCTGCAGACGAAAGAAGTCCTAAATCCTCTGCAAACTCGCATATATGTAAATCATGTTTTGATGATGTTTCTAAACAAGCTGGAATAAATAGTCATCCTATCATTCTCGATATTTTAGAACTCTGAAACCGTTTCTTTAGTATTGGCCAATGTGGCAGTGTCTCTTGCTGGATCCCAGATCATGTAGGCATAGCAGGTAACACAAAAGCCGATGCTCCCTTGACAAACCGTTATCGCAACACCCACTGATTTGAAGCCATCTTTTAAAAGGTAAACCCGGGATCTTTTGAAAAAAACGGAACTCCAAGATTGGAATCACTTACTTCATGAATTGTAACCATTGGTCAAAATACTTCCATTGTCAGACATTTTCCCATGATATCGTATTCACCGAAGGTCGGTTTGCGGCAGAAATGACACATATGACGTCCCTCCTAAGCGATGAAAGTCACAGCCTCAAACATATTTTGCTGGACTGTTGACCTTGCTGTCGCAAGTGATTCACATTAACAAGCTGTAAGATCTTTCCACCCAAATTACTTGTATCATAAACGACATGTGAAGATCCGGGTTAGATTTTGTCTAAAAGGGGAATAACGGGATCAGGATGTCATCGAATTGTTGGTGTGGTGCTTATTTCTAAATTTGGGCTTATAGCCCGTGTTATACATTATCTGCCTTTTAATTGTGGTTGGTTGGTACTATCTGAGTCGGTTCTTCTCGGTCCGGGACATGTTCTCTTTGTATAAAGATTTTAATGTTTTTAAAATGGAGAGTATCAAACACAGTTTTTGTTTAGTGAAATCCATCCATGTTCTGAACAACACATAGTGTCAGAGTAATTTCATGTGCCCTATTCTGTCAATATACTACATTGATGTTATGTCACATGTATGTTTACAGTGATATACATGTATATTATTTTTTTCCGAAGACTGAATCTAACCTGAGTGATAAATTTAATAAACCCACTCTCTCCTTTAGTGCCTTGTCCAGAGGGATCCTACTTCAACTTTACCAGAAACGAATGCATGGCATGCACCTATGGATACTATCAGGAGCATAAAGGGCAGCTGAGCTGTTCAGTGTGTCCAGAAAAACAGACCACTTTAACTCTGGCCAATACAAACAGTTTATCTTGCAAAGGTAGGTGTGATAGGCATTATTTGAAGTGGTTTTCCATGGCGTAGACGTCTTCCGGAGATATACTTCCGTTGAAAGTATGCAGCGGCAGCAAATAGTTGTTTTTATGGAAATATTGTTCAGGAATTCTCCGATGACTGATATTATGTCAGCTATAATGATCAAGCCACATAACATCAATGAACTTGTAATGATGGCAGCTATGAATCTTGACAACATCACCATTATCTGATTCTTTTCTGAATTCACCGCCTGTGTTATAGGCGTAAGGCAGCAATATTGACTTTGTATTGTTCTAATCACAATATGACTTCGAAAATTACATATGAACCAAAGGACATGAACAAAACCAATATAACATTTTCGTGTGAATTGAAAATACACTCGTTTGTCTAAATCAGATAAGAAATAGTCAGGATATTCGATCCACGTCGTTTGTGCATGAATAAATAACCTTCCTTAAACTATTGTTTCAGATATGTGTGTGCCTGGCACTTTCTCTAAGACTGGTGTAGTTCCCTGTATTCCATGCCCGCGTGGTACATATCAAGATCGCCATCATATGGATGAATGTGTTAGGTGTCCCAGTGGCGAAACAACACTGGATGAAGGCGTTTCTTCAGCATCAAACTGCTCTGGTAAGAAACCCTTAACAATATAATATCAGGAGATACACATATGAGCATTTATTACACACCACCGGAACCCAATGGCAATTTTCAAGAATGTTGATCTAAACAGGCGCACATACTCCACCATATTGGAATGCACATAAAAAACACGTGCTTCGCAACGAGTCTCAAATCTGTGAGTCACATAGTCACGTGCTTCGAAGGTGCCAAGGTCATTGGGGTATGAATGTCATAATTGCAGCATGTGGGATACAGTATTCCTAACGCATATAAAAGAGGACAGTCCTCAGAATCAACTCTTGTTGGAATGACAAGACATAGACTTTCAGAGAATACACGAAGGCGTGTTTTGGCATGCATGATGCAGGAATGTCCTGTCACAACATCGGGGCTAACGTGAATATTAACGACATGGTATATATGAGGACATGTAACCATCGATGAAGTAAAGGATCGTCCAAAACCTGTAAGTCTAGGAAGACCAATGGCCCCAATGACCGTTTCCTAATTCGACTGGCAAAACGCAAAGGTATGACCCATGCTGGAGAACTGCACCTGCAATGGAGAGTAGGTGTACCGTCTCCAGAAGTACCATCAGAAGGAGTCTGCAGGCTGCTGGTCTGAGGGAAAGTCGTTAGATCAGGCATCCGTCCTCACAGATGGGCACAGGCAGGAACGTCTGGCGTGGTGCAAGCTACGGGGAAATTTGTGTACATGGCTTAGGGTTCATTGGTCTGTTGAAAGTCGCTGTCTTCTACACGTTACCAACGGCCATTGACGCGAATGGAGACGAGGCACATGGCCAGGAAATGATCCATGCAACCCCATAGTATGGGGTTGCGCTTCATATGACTGCAAGTTGGATCTCATTGTATCAATGGGACATGCAATGGTCAAGGTTATTAACATGTCATCTCCTTACCATGGATGACAACGCAAGACACCACCGTCCTCGTCTCCGATATGAACCCAATCGAACAACTTCGGTACTATCTTGGACGCCGAGTTCGAGTTGGCGATCCTCTTGTTCAAACTCCGCAGAAATTGTCTCACTCAGTCCATGAGGAATGGCAAAGAATTCGAGTAGGAGATTGGCACGTTTTATGTGCGAATGGTGACTACACCAGGTACTGATATGTGGTGTTTCATACAATCACAAATACCTTAATTTGAGACCTGTGAATTTCTCTCAGTGTGCATGAAAACTAAATATTTGGGTGGGTGCTCGTGTGAATGCAAGCATTGTAATGTTAGGTGATTCACATTGCATTTTGCCAATTTATTTCCAGAATATTCTATTGTGTTTTAAATATGAATTAGTTTTCATTGAACACACATTGAAACAAATGGATCATATATACTGTGCATACAAACATTTTAAATCTAAATTTATCAAACCTGTGTAGACACATAAGGATTTAAACTAAGAGATTAGTGACATGTATCCAACATGCATGCACGTGCCACATTCCGTGACGGCAGTGGGTTCGTCCTTGAGACGTGCAATACGTTGTTGCACGTGCATTCCGGGAAAGAGAAACAGAGCAAATGAATGCCACACAATACTGTCACTTTGGAAAGCTCAACCCCTGCCCTTGCGATCGTCCAAAAAATTAAACGGCTATTGAAACGCATAGCATGCCAAGGCTCACGTCTGGACAACGTCATGAGGCCATTGGGATGGTCCGTGGAGAAATGTCTCAACGACAAGTGGCTGCACATTTCCACTGCCACCGGAACACCATTTCTGCACTGGTGAGAGGCTACCAGAACACAAATGATGTCATCGATCGGCCACGTTCTAGACGTCCACGTGTAACAACGCCAGACAGGACAGATGGATAAGGGTGACCCATCTTCGCCACAGGTTTCAGAAAGCAGTTATGACTGCCCTAACCATCCCAGGACTTCGCCGTATCCACCCCAACACAGTTCGACAACGTTTACGTCATCACGGGATCAGACCACGACGTCCCGCCATCCTGACACAACGTGATAGACAAGCTCGCCGAATGTGGTGCCGAAATCATGTCCGCAGACATGTTTTGGTGGAGAAATGTTGTTTTTACAGATGAGTCCAGGTTTAACATTTGTCATAGTGATGGACGTCAACGTGCCTATAGACGCATAGGAGAACGTTATGCACAGGCCTGTGTATTGGAGAGGAATCGCTTTGGTGGTGGTTCCGTGATGATTTGGGGTGTAAAAACAGCACGCCAAAGAACTCTTTGGTGATTGTCCAGGGCAACTTAATTGGTGTGGGCTACAGGGATCAGATTCTTCGACCTGTGGCAATTCCTTTTCTGCAACGTCATGGCCCTGGGTTAACATTCCAACAATGCCCGCCCTCATTCGGCAAGGGTTCCTATGGATTTCTTGCAACACCATAACGTTAACTTACTGCCTTGGCCTGCAAATTCACCGGATCTCTCCCCGATAGAGCATGTTTGGGACAAGATGGATCGACGTCTACGCCGTCTTCCTCATCCGTCAGATAACGTCCTTGACCTTGCAACAGAACTTGAGAGAATCTGGCGTGCCATCCCACAAGCCTTCCTTGCACGTTTGATAGGCTCTATGCGTCGTCGATGCAGTGCTGTTCTCAATGCCGATGGTGGACATACCCGTTATTGAGCTTGTGACATGGTCGTTTGACCCCTGTCCCGCTTGTGGACTCGTGACGTCATTGTGATTGACTTTTCAATTGAAATTTTCCCGACTTGTTATGGTCTCATGATCCCACCATTAAAGTTTACCTTTGACATTGTTATCGTACTTATGAACAGTTTCTTTATGTGGCTAGTATAGATGGTAACTTACGTAGTCCTGCACAGGCTTACTCTGAGAGAGACAAATATAAGAAAAGGGTTTTGGCTCAAGGGACTGTAAGCATTGTTTGCACATTACAAAAAATATTATGGGATAGAATGCTCCACATCTACTGTGAAGTGCACAGAACGTATATTTTGCAGGTGTTATGATGGTGTTTTTGTTTTGTTAATTAAGATGTCACATTGATTAACTTTTCGTTATTATAGGATCACAAAAGTTTAAAGGGCTTAGTGTGATTTGAACTCGCATCTTGCTTAGGCCATGTAATTCCACATGTTGAGAGTAAGTTGAGGAGTTAGAGTTTCATCCCATTGTTTGTTTTGCTTCCGGTTTGCTGCTTCTGGAAAGACTGTGGCATTCATTCGAGTGAGTGAGTTCTACATGATCGTATTGTGATCTAAATGGCCGTAGTGAAGCGTTGCTACTACTAGAATTCTCGAAAACAGTGTGATAGGTATATAAGGTTTGGTTGCTGAGATGTTCCAACCAACTTTGAGGACTGTGGTAATTATAGACATGTAGTTAATGTTTTAGATTTGTGAGCTGTCATTCATTGTAACCTTGCTCATTGTTTCTTTAATTTTTTATTGAATATTGTAGACTTGTCTGTGTTTTATTTTGCTGGTGTAAATGGGACTCCCAAATCTTTTGTCACGGCAATATCTAAACCGTAACACAGGTACAGATTTCAGGGTTAACCTTCACATGTCTATTTGGGAATAAACATGTCAGACAATGGCATGCATTTACCCCACCCTGATGACATATCATTGGACCGAACGTCTTTCTAAAGGTAGACATGGTGGTTCAAAATATATACATGTACACTGGATATTTCGGCTAATGATACCACCAGACTGGAGGTAAAGGGGATACTGCAGAAATTTGCTCAGGTTCTTTCTCATATTTGCTGAAGGCATGGTATCTGTTCCTGATTTTAGGCCTGTAAAGCTAAACAACCTGAAGTATGGAACATAGCCTTGTGGCTGTTGGGTTATAACTTGTTATGTAATATCACTTAATTGTTGTCACTGTTGGGAAATATGATTATTTGTTTTTAAAATATTAGCTGAATTCTTTTTTTTCAACACCAACCCTAACCTTTATTGTACTGTTTTCAGCATATGACATCCTGTTTCAAGGACCTGTTACAATTCCAGTGGAAGGCAGCGTTCAATCGTCCATTTGTGACTTTACCTTTGCTGTGTGGGTCAAGGTTGAAGATGTAGACTATGGTGACATAAAATTCCAAATCTACAGTCCCATAATAAAAACTGGGATTGAAGTGTCCATCTCGTCAGACATCAAGGTGATTCTTAGAAACAGGTAATTGTATTTAGTTTCTGTGGTTTTATCAAATATATACAGGACACTTGTATCATCAGCAAAGGCTAATGTAGTAGTTTCGGGTATTTTCCTTTTCACCCACTCGTCATAAAAATTTTAGTATGTGTGGTGCTGCTTTATTTCCCAGAGCGAGGTGTAAGCTTTATTGTTTATCCTTGAAAGCTGTGTTCCTTGACATGCTTTTATTATTCATGTCAGTGACTGATTTCAACTTCATGTTTGGGTGTAACCAGCCAGTGTCCTTCACACATGTGTTTCTAGAAAACACGTTAAAGTTTTACCACCTTATGTATCATATCAGGGCATTACCATGACCAAAGATGCAAAGCTAAAAAATGGTTTTACAATTAAAGTTTGGAACAAAACTTTTAAAATTACAATCGTGATGGAAGCTCGGTAACCATTGTCGACGGGAGTTACCTACATGATAAGGTTGAAGGCACTGGCATTGTGAAATGTTGATATACTTTGAACAACATACATAAACCAAATGTTTATGTTTTAAGATACTGCCTTCGTCTTATCTCAGTCGTCACATACTCTACGGCAAACTATGGATCCTACCTGGTGTATTTATTTCTTGGAGCGGTCCAGACAAATAGTCGTTTCAACAAGATAAGGCCACGTGGCCGCAATCAGGGATAAAGCCATTTACTAATAAAATGTAAGTGTTTACTAAACAAAAAATGAAACATCTCATGTTACTTTATGGGCGTAATGTTACCAAATGGTTTATGCCCCCGCCCCCACCTCCCAATGTCACTTTATGGTATATGGTTTGAACACAGCATGAGTCAACCTGCGTCATATGCAGTAATATCATCCCGCAGATAACTACGTCATCAGCTTTAACATCTAGCATGCGATACAACAGATAGTGAACATTTTGCTTGAATGTGTCAATTTCCCCATACGTTTTTATAATGATGATCCATCTGTATGTGAATTTTCAGAAATGTTTCTAATGGCCTGATTTCAACAATTTTTAAATGAAATCAAACGGAATGACAAATATAGATTCGTATATCAGAGATAATTTTTTACCTTTGATGTGCTACTTGACTGACATTTTAGTGATTTTCGACATCACGTTTACTGTTTTCAGTGTATTGTAAAACGAAAGACATTTTCTCGCCGCGAATAGCTGCGGCATTAAGCAGTATTCACTTATTCACTCATTTCAGGACACGTGTTCGCACATTTTAAATAAATACTCTACATTCGTGGAGTGAGTTAAAATTTTGTGTCACATCGGCAATATTTCAGTCATATTGTGACTATATAAAGTTATATATTTATAATGATTATAGGTATATTATACAAACCTGTCAGCGAAGTACAGTAAAACAACTAGTTTATCACAGATGTATATTTAAAAACATTTTTACTATACAAGACGATACAATATCAAACAGGCTATAGACTGCCAACAACCGAAGGTAGATTACCATACTAGGGACCATGGGGACTTACAGTACATTTGCTTCCTGCATGGACCCAAGCTGGATTTACACCATCCGTTCAGCTGTCAGCAAGTTTAGACAATTGAGCCATAAATAAAATTAACACATAACCTAAGGTTAGAAATAATGGTATGTTTAAATTTACTTTGAATGTTTTTGGACGTACGCACCCCCACAGGAGGACAATAATTTTACAATGCTTCATCCACCTGTGAGGATAAAGCCACTCACAATCTCAGCTGCTCAATTAAACTACCAATTCAAAAATATTGATCTATTTACAAATCATTCAACAAAACTAATTCTTTTAAAAAATTAATTTAAAACCGTTTGCAAGACACCATTTATTTATTTTGTTCATACATAATTGCAGTTGCCGTTCAATAGTATGCATATTTTTACTGCGACAAGAAATATTAAAATCATCCACAAAAAGTAATCCATCAATGGAATCATTTAAAACCTTGGATAAACTGTTGATCTTGATACTAAAGAAGGTGACAGACAAAATACTGCCTTGTGGGACACCCTGGTCCTGATTATTATGGTCAAACAGGGTTGAACCCACTCGGACTTGAAATTGCCTGTCTGCTAAAAACTATGACATAAACAGAGGGAAACGACCCCTCAAACTGAAGTCATGTAAATCCTTCAAAATGCCATGCTTCCAGGTGGTATCGTATACATTCTCGAGATCAAAGAATATCGATACTGCATGGGTCTTTTTTATTATAGCATTATTAACAAAGGACTCCAAACGTACCAAATGATCGATGGTACTAAGATTTTCCCTGAAACCGCATTGAATATATGTTATAAGGTCATTGGTTTCAAGATACCATGTTAATCTATTGTTTTCCATTCATTCCATGGTTTACAGACACAACTCGTTCAAGAGATTTGTCTGTAATTAGACGGATCAGTATGATCCTCGCCATGCTTTGGAATAGGGACTACAATGGCATTACGCCAAGAAGATTGGATATTCCCTTAAGTCCATATTGAATAAAAAATAATTAGAAGTGTTTCCAAACATTATTCAGGTAAATGCTCCAAGAGCTGATAGTGTATATTATCGGCTTCTGTTGCTGTATCATGAGCTTGCTCAAGTGCAGTGTGGAGCTCATATAATGAGACTAATTCATTATAGTCTCTGCCATTGTCTGAGTCAAAATTTATTCTCTTCTTCTCATGTTGTTTCTGACAGATTTGAAATTCTTGCACGTAATGGCTCAGAATGTTTGGCGAGAGTTTCACCAAGCTTATTGGCAATTTCAAACTTATCCGTTAATAAATTGTCACCATCCTTCAGATGGTGGACGGGAGTCTGGTGGTTGAGGGCACTGGTTCCAGGATCAGCGTTCCTTTGCCAACACACCACTTCGCCCCTTACTTCACCTAGACGGGTGGTAGAACTGGCCCGGTTCTACCAGTCGGCTGGTCACGCCAAGCCCTGTGCTACAACTGTAAAATGTTGCACAAAATTTGAGAATTATTAGGTGATATGTTTAAGGCTAGGCATATTTTGGAACTTATGAATTTCTACTGCACAATTTCATGTATGTTTTTGCCTCGAGTCGTATGCCCAGAAGGCGGTGGCTCATGGGCCAATCTGGTGGAATATATCCTCGAGTATATTATCCGGGTATCCTTGGTGCTGCAAGTCGGAGATCCGCTTGCTTTTAGCATTGTTCTTGTGATACTCCGTGGTGGGCGGGGAGCTCGGATGATGAAACATTTAACATTAACCATGGCTTACGACCCCGAAAAAATAAATCTACAGGGACTCTATAATCATCATAAATCCATTTTAAACAAGTAGATTCATTGAAGTCTTTACAGACTGGTTGCTTGATCTCTTGTATCTATATCCAAATTTGAGCAACAGCTTGCATATGGTAGGCTTTGATACATTGATGTCATGGTCTTCTTTAGAACAATATTTTCTTAAGTTTGCTTGACAATATGGATCGATGTGACCGAGGCATGACGTCCCTCACAACCCTTCTATCGAATTCATCAAGCTTTGTTTTCTTTGCAGTTTTTCAGACGGTCCCCGATTTAACTGCCATGTCATCGTCAGGCTCTGAAATAGTGTTATGGGAGATAACTCTTTGCAATATTCTTTTGCAGATCTTCGTGGCATTAAATGTCTTTTGGAGAAACATTCAATTGAAATAAAATTGAATTTTTTGTCGCTTTGCCTCGCGCTTGAAAAAGTTGTAAACTCTTTTGATGATTTGCCGGTCATCTTCGTGCAACCTCGTTTTCTCTACAACCTGTGCGTGTTGACGATCTTTGACATCACTTAAGCGTGCTAATGTAAATACCCGTGCATGTACATATCACGCTGACACACATTTTACAGTGTTGTTGGCTTTTCCATCAGGTGCGTTAACCCCTGGTCAAACTCTCAACAGTTTTACCATTATTATATGACAGGTTTAAAGGCACAATCTTTTATAATCGTTTTAATTTTACTTAAATCGATATCTTGTTAGGTCACGGTATACAAGTACCATATGAACAGAGTAGTGTTTTAAAATATTCAGGAGTTTTATATAAATTGTGAAAAACAGGGTGCCAAATGTTAAGTTGACGGACTATAGACATTGATCGTGAAGATGAAGAACACAGACCGACCCAATCAATTGATTTCTGTCCACGCTTTATAGTGATCAAGACTCAAGATAAGACGCCACTGAAGTTGAACCCTTTTGCGGTATCAAAGGCTATTCAAGGCATTGCCGGTGATGTCAAAAACGTTAAACGCTTGCGTTCAGGAGATCTTCTAATTGAATGTAGTAAAAGACAGCAACCCAGATAGCATTGATATGTTGGCCCATAGTTGGCCCATAATCACCGGTTTGGTTGGCTCATTGTTGTCAAACTGACGATGGGCCTACTTGGATATGCTCATCGGCTCCACAGTGGCCCATCATGTTGGCTCATTGTTGGGCCAACGAATGAAAATTCACATAAAACCATGGCCCATAGTTGGCCCAACGTAGTGATTTCGTTGGCCTTATGTTGGCACCACCGTGTTACAACATTTAGCTCTTTCTTGACCTTTGTACTAAACCATGGCCCATACTTGGCCCAACGATGTGATTTAGTTGGCCTTATGTTGGCACAACTGTATTTCAACATTTAGCTCTTTCCTGACCTCTGCAATCATAAACATATATAAACAACAAAACAAGTTAATCAAGTGAACTATTTAATTCTTTTTTTTCATTGTTATTTAAACATTATTGTATTTCTTGAAAATATTCTTGTTTTAGGTCTTTTGTGGCTGTCGCCGCTGACAGTTTTTTCGAACTGCTCCTGAAAAAAACAACCCAAAAATTTCATGAAACTGTCAGATATCTATCATAAAAGGACAGTATTTGACCTTATGTTTATTTTGAAACATACATGTACAACTTAATGATTGAAAACTTCTTGTTTATTGCACAGAGTGACATTCGGATGTAGATTCTTACACTGTTATCAAGCAAAAACCAAATGATGAGA